AATTTGAAAGCTTTTTAAATACTGTGTGGCCAGCTCCTGTCCTCGACCCAGCCCTGAAGAGGTCTGTCTGTCGCCCAGTCATTTGGACTGCTTGTCTAACTGAACATGTGCTCGCTGAGGGCCTTGGGAAGACATGTAATAGATCCGATAAAGGCCGAGCACATCCACAGTCATGGCGTCTCTGCTTCTCCGAGGGGGCAGAGAGGCTTTGCATGACAATTAATTATTCACACTTTCTCTCCTTCTCCTCAAACACTTGGTTTCCTATCGAGCTCTCTCCACGGAGGCCAGTTTTCTCTGGGTGTGTGTAACCTAGCACCGGTGACAGTGTGGCGCTGCGTTCTGTGGCTCTTAGAGCCTGTTTATTTTAGGCTTACATGCATTGGGCACATGCTGGCGATGGCTAGGGCACACCACTGCCACTACCCAATCTCCTTCCTCTTCTGGGGCAGCGTTTTAGTCACTGATGTGTCCCTGGTTCTTACCGTGCAAAGGCAGGAGCTCCGGAGTCGGGTCAGTTGGCTGCACCTGGAACTGCCCGGGCTAGAGCTTGAGCTGGTGCCTGGCCCAGTGCCTTCCAGTCCCACCCTCTCCTCTGAGGCTGGGCATCTTGCCCTTAAGTAAAGCTGTGAGCATTCACTCATCCGTGCAGGCTCAGTGAGGCCTTTGTTGCCATCCTCTGGGAAACCTTTGTGCAGCTGATGGAGGCAGTGCGGCTCCGAGCTCCCTGACAACTCCTGGAGACTCAGAGGCTGCCTTCCTTACCCCGGGTCTCTTCACACCCAGGCCGCTCCCACCGTCTGCAGACTTGCTCTGTGTCACACTCTGCTTTCCTTTCGCTGTTACTCCCACCTGCAGTGCTAGCCTGTTTCAGTTTCCCTCAAGGGCAGTGTTCAGATCTAAACACTTGGGCATGTGCCACCGGGGAGGTGGTTTCTGGATGATCTTTCTCAGAAACCCAGGGCCGGAAGACAGAGATGTAAATGGCTGTCCAAGGCACGAAGTTATCGGCTGGCAGCCAAGAAGCCAGCCGGTTAGAAAGAAGTAGGGGAGCAGTCGAGAGAGGTGAAGTAGTGGCAGTGTGGCCAGAGATGGCAGGAGAGTGACAGCAGCTCATTCTGCTGTGAAATGAATGCTGCAGAGAGCTTGAGCATACCTCTCTGCGGAGCTGTGGGGCGACTGTGCACACAAAGTCAGACGCTGGGCAACTGGGAAAGATTACTCTACATCTTGGAGCCTCGACTTCCTGCTCTCTAAAATGGGGAGAATAATTGATTCCCCCCCCACACACATACCTCTTTAGGGTTATTGTGAAGATTAAATAAGTTTATACATGTAGAATATTAAAAAAAAAGTGCCAGCCTGCCGAAACCGGTTTGGCTCATGGATAGAGCATCGGCCTGCGGACTGAAAGGTCCCGGATTCAATTCTGGTCAAGGGCATGTACCTTGGTTGCGGGCACATCCCCATTGGGGGGTGTGCAGGAGGCATCTGATCAATGTTTCTCTCTCATTGATGTTTCTAGCTCTCTATTCCTCTCCCTTCCTCTCTGAAAAACTAAATAAAATATATTTTTTTAAAAGTGCCAGCCCACCCATACTGAATTTCATCCAAGTGTTAGCAAGTAGTGTCATCACAGGTACATGCCACATGCACACCCTGAGTGTGGGGCAGGTTCTTTTTAACAGGACCTCCTGACTGCTCTGACAGCCTCTTTGCCTAAACATTCTTTCTGCAATGTGTATTCTTTTTTTCACAGAAATTATCTGTAATTTTCTCAAATAAATTTCTTCCTCAAATTGTTTTAGGCTTATCTGCCCCTCTCCATCCATACTGAGCATTCAGTAATGTTTGGCTTAGTCAGTGTCTCCGCTGTTGGGAGATCAGGGCACCATGGAAAAGTGAAATGTGTGTTTTAGATGATTACTGGAGTTACTGACTGATGGGAAATTTCCGTGGTTTGCATCTCACTACTTTTGTTTCTACTGCAGTTTTGCTAATAATGTTCAATGAAACAGAAAGTAGCCTGGTGAGCAGAAAGAGCAAGCAAAGTAAAGAACCATAATAATTCATGAATTGGAATTGTTCTTTAAGCCATCATGATTAACTTTTCCTGATTCCAATGAATATGGGGGCACACACTTATGAGTTAACTGAATAAAAATAGGAATATATCCTAAAGGTAACTGGCCCATCTTTTTTAAATTCAGCCCATTACCTCAGCAAAACACAGGTCCAGTTCCCAACAAGACATTTCTCCTAGAAGCCATTCAGACATCTCAAGCCAACATGGGCAAAGTGGAAGTTGTTATTTTTCCCCACAAACATACCCTTCTTCTAAATATTTCTTAGTTCAGTTAAACATCAACATCAGACCACTTGCTCAAGTTGGAAGTATCAAAGTATACACTTCTGCTTTTCCTGCCCCTCACCTTCATGCACATGTGCCTCCTAAGTAGCTTCTGCATCCATGCCCTTCCGTACACCCAATGACTCTGCCTGCATTTATAATGTTGCTATGTAACAATCACCCCAAACGGTGGCTTAAGACTGCAGTCATTTATTATTTCCCATGTGTTTTGGGTCAGCTCATTTAGACCAAGCTCAGCCAGTGGCTCATACGATGTGTCTTTGGGTGTCTGAGGTTGGCTGATTTAGGTGGGCTCAGCTGGGGTGCCTTTGCTCCACGTATCTCTCATCCTCCTTTCTGGCAGCAGTGGGTTGGCTTGAGTATGTTTTTCTCATGGGAATGTCAGAAGCACAAGAAGGCAAGCCAAAACATGTCACTCTTGACTCCTTCTGTTGGCTGGGTGAAGAGGCCCAAAGAAAAGCATTGCGTAGGCAGTAATGGTCCTCAACCTCGGTATATAGTCTAACCCAAAATCAAAGAGTGAAGAATTGCACTTCACCCACTTGGTGGGAGGAACTACAAAGTCACATGGCAGAGAGCAAAGGGACAGGGCAGGATACACGTTTTTTAGAGGACTACTGTGCAAGCCATGCACTGCACAATTCCGAGGGCACGCTGTTCACACCACAGTCTATGTAAGTGGACTTCCACAGTACTCAGTGGCACCAGCTTCCTTATCTCCCCAGTGCCGAGTACATATAAATTGCTCAAGAAAGGTGTGAATGAAAGAGTAAATGAGAAAGAAGGTAACAAAAAACTGAACTAACTATTCCCAGGTGAGATATCTGACAGTCAAAGTTGGGATTAAAATTCAGATAGCTTTTGATCCAACAATATTAAAACCATGTTATTACAGGTGCATATGATAGAATGTATCTGTAAGCTAACTTGGTATGTCTCATTTACCTACAACAACAAAAAGTTACCTTTCATCTTGTGAACTAATCAAGATTATAGTTCCTTAAAGCACATCACACTTCTTAAAATGCTATTGACCGCATAAATGCCCTGTGCATAGCACCCTAGGGGACATTGTGGGACGGGTATAAAAACTGGTCTGGTTCTACATGAGTCTAATCCCCAAGTCACAATAGAACTAAAGATTTCTTTAAAAAAAAGATTTCTTAATTGTCCTTGGATGAGTCATACAGCTTATATAAATGCAAACAGAGCCCATATTTTAAAAAAACAAGACTCTTATCAGGTAATTTAATAAAATACGTTAAATATTTGTGAATTATAATTATGCCAGTATGGCCAGCAAACTGTTCACCCTGTAGGAAAGTGTTGCCACATTAAACAGTCAACTTCACACTTAGAATTTGGCACAGGGAGGGTAACTGACCCAGTTAGGATGTATGGGCTTCTGGGTGGACATGGCCTGAGGAGAGGCCCAAAAGAAAGCATTACACAGGCAGTAATGGTCCTACCTTGAGTCCCCCACCCCTAACCATAGCCCCAGTAAGCTCTGACAGAGGACTCTGTGCTTGTCCCTGGATTGCTCTTCCCTGGGTTTCCAGCAGCAAAGTGATCATGACCAGGCCACCCCCACCGTCAGGACACTGTTGGCAGGATGCCTTAGCACGGCACCCAGCATAGGGCATGAAGAAAAGATTCCATAAATATTTGTTAATTGAGTGAATAAAATAAACCAATGAAATAAGCAAATGAAGGGAGTATCCTATCTAATAAAGAGGGAATATGCTAATTGACTATCACTCCCTCACAAAAATGGCAGCACCCACAGCCAATAGGGAAAGAATATGCTAATTGAATGACACCCTCAATGATGGCGGTGCCCACAGCCACAAGATGGCGGCTACCAGTCCCCTCAGCCCCCCAGGCATCCAGGGCTGGCCCAAGACGCAGGCAAGCCTTAAATGGTGGCTGCACAGTCACGCAGGGCTGGCCTGAGGTACAGGCAAGCCTTGGATGGCTGCTTCCCAGCTGATGCCCACGGTACAGACAAGCCTGGGATGGCAGCTGCCCAGCCACCCAGGGATGCCCGAGGCTCAGGTAACCAGGGCCAGCAGATGCTTGTGCTGCCAACAATGGCAGCATCAGAGGTGTGATGGGTTCATCACCTTCCTCTGATCCGGGGTCACCTCCTGCCCCTGAGGGCTCTAGGACTGTGAGAGGGGGCAAGCTGGGCATGAGGGAATTTTCATGTACAGGGCTTCTAGTAATGGTATAAGGAATATTTGTGGAGTAAGGCACTGCAGTCACTTGAGGAAATACTAAATGGTATACACTCAAGGCTACTGGGTCTATTATCCCTTCCAGGTCAATGGAGCCTTGACTTGCTACTGCCTAATAGGTTAAACCTGATGAAGTAGCACCACAGATCTAGCACCGCCCAGCTGGGAAACCATTCACAGCCATATGCCCTTCAACTTTTGGCAGCGAGGGTATTGCAACCGTGGTTTCTGCACATGAACCTGGGATCAGAAAACCGTAACAATCGTGGAGTCAGTTCAGTTAGACTTTAGCGCCTCTTCCTGCCCAGGCTTTGCGCGCCATCATCCTTGCAGGACACCGGGAAACAGTCGCCATGTGGGGATCTCTTGTGTTTTTCTTTCTGTGCCCCCAGGTGAGCTCTCCGTGGAGGAGGCACAGGACCCTTTCCTGGTTAGCATCCACATCATCGCAGACCCCGGCGAGTCCCAGCCCCTGCAAGAGGCCATCGACGGGGTCTTGGCTTGGATCCACCCAGACCTGCAGCTGTTCCGGGTCTCGGAAAGGCGGGCTCCCCGGCAGCGGCGGCGGAGGGCCCCGAAGGCGAAGGCGGCGCAGCCCGCCCTGGCGGTGGTGCTCTTCCTGCAGGAGGACGAGCCGGTGCTGCGGCTGCACCGCGCGCTGCAGCGGCCGCCCTGGCGCCACCACCACACGGAGCGCGTGCCGGGCCGGCTGCTGCCCTACCTGCCCTGCAGCCAGGACTTCTTCACGCTGGCGCCCGGCACGCCGCTGTGGGCCATCCGGCCCCTGCACTACGGCCGGGAGATCGTGCGCTTCACCGTCTACTGCCGCCACCACAGCTATGCCGACATCCTCAGGTTCTACCAGCTGATCCTCAGGCGCAGCCCCAGCCAAAGCAAGGCGGACTTCTGCATCTTCCCCGTTTTCTCCAGCCCGGACGTGGACATCCAGTTCTCCCTCAAGAGGCTGCCCTGCGACCAGCACCCCGTGCCCACCGACAGCTCGGTGCTGGAGTTCCGAGTCCGGGACCTCGGCGAGCTCGTGCCCCTCCTGCCCAACCCCTGCAGCCCCATCAGCGAGGGCCGCTGGCAGACGGAGGACCACGATGGGAACAAGGTCCTCCTGCAGGTACCCCGGGGGAGTCTGTCTGTGTCTGTCTCCCGGTCCGTGTGGGGGGCACAGAGGGAAAGGGGGGTCGGCCCTGCCAGAACCCCTACCTGTTAGAGAGCAACGAGTTAAGAACGAGGAGGGATCTGTGGCCCTCCGTCTGGCCTCAGACTGTCAGGAGCTCATACAATACCTGAGCCAGAGGAGGGCTCCGTCTGGTGGTTCTCTTCACTTCACTGTGGTAGCCACGTGCCTCAGCCACGTGCCTGTGGAGGAAATGGATGCAGGAGACTCTCCTGTTCCTTCCGTGGTCTGTGTCTTTGCTCAGATACTGGACCCATTTCTCCTCTCCACCTTCCGATGGATGTCCAACGTCCTTCCAAGATCATTAGCTATACCCTAGGATTCAAAATTCAACATACAGACTTAAGAATGTCCTACACCTGGCCCTGCCTGATAAATGCTTTCCAAACCCATGCTTTCTTGAATCAACATGTAAATCAGTTCAAGGAATATAGGAATTTGTTTTTCTGAAAATCCTTTTCTGTCTCAGTTTTTACTTTTGGTTACCTGCAATGAGAAAGTTGATATCAAATTAGGGGCTATTGTCTTGAAAGGTGCTGCTTGTAATTACTTGAATCACAGGAAAAGTTTCAGTTTTTGTTGGTTTTGGTATTAAACCTCAGAACTGTAATCGATGTCACAAAATGAAGTGAGAACTTGGCATGTGTCCAATAACTGATTCAAACGACAGCCAGGACACCATTGCTCAAGTCCGAAAGGTCACCTTGAGATAGTTACTATTTATAGAAATAGAGAATTTTCAGAATTCCTTTTGAACTGAACAGATAAGTAAATAATATTGCTCTTTTATTTGGTGAACTAAAAGCTGGCTAACATTTTCTCAATAATCCCTTTTGAAATGTGAGAAAAAAATTTCTTCTGGTTTGAAGACTGCCAATTCTTTATGCAGAATATAATGCAGTTGAATAAGTAAAAGTTAAAGTTTTGCTTATACAAAAAAAAAAAAATGAATGTGATTGTTTCTGAAGGACCTCTTCCTTTTTATAACCATTAGGATGCTTTTTCTCTTGATCCCTATAATAACGTAAGTGACAGAACAAAGTATGGAAACTTGCTCCAGACTCTGCTCAAAGGAGCCATTGAAAGAATATTTCAAAGTGGATCCACACATTTAAATGGTAATAAAATCTGTACAGATACAGGCTTTTGGAGTTACAGCATCAGAGTGTGAAAAGGGTAAGAAAAAAAAAATTGTATCTTGGGCCTCAGAAATTCAGGCCTTTATTCAAAATAATAGTATATCGAGGAGTTAAATTAATGTGGGCAGAAATGACTAATAGCCCCCTCATAAATTTTGATTATGGCCATTTGAACAGGCTACTGTGACTCCATCACTATAGAAAGCAACCTTCTGCTCTAGCATGAGATACATACCTGCTCATCTCTTAAGTAACTTTTTAAAGTAAAAGTTTATGTTCAGTCTTTAGCAAAATTAAGATATTTAGATCATGGGGGAGGGGTAAAGTTGAGAGAGCTCATTTTTATTAACATTTTCATTAATGAATATATTTCCCAAATTCCATGTTTAACTATAATTTTAATTAAATGCTTTTGTTTGATTGGGCAGAATTATACATTGAAGAAAAATCTTTATTGGGTAGTTTTTAATTACTTTCTTTTTTAAAATATATTTTTATTGATTTTTTACAGAGAGGAAGGGAGAGAGATAGAAAGCTAGAAACGTCGATGAGAGAGAAACATCGACCAGCTGCCTCTTGCATACCCCCCATCGGGGATGTGCCCGCAACCAACGTACATGCCCCTGACTGGAATTGAACCTGGGACCTTTCAGTCCGCAGACTGGTGCTCTACCACTGAGCCAAACCAGTTTCGGCTACTTTCTTAAAATATAAATTATATTTTATTTCTTCATCCTGCCTCACTGACTTAACATTCCATATTTCAGAGACCTCTTCCTCCCATTTAATTTCCCTAGAGGAGAAAAGCTGAGAGGTTATTTTCTGGGAATACTCACTCTCTTATAAGAATTTGGAAATGTTTTTACTGAGGTATGATAAGATAGAAAGCAGGCTTTTATATTCCTGAAAGTAATATCTCCATCTTTCTTGGCATTGCTGGTTTAAAGGAATAGGCAGGAGGTGTCATCAGAAGTTGTCTGAGATCCCTTTGAAAAAGGCATCTTAGAAATTTGCATTAATACCTGATGATATTAAACTGTAGTTTTCTGGAATTAAGGTCTGTGTTTATGAATCCACATCTTCAGAACTAAAATAATGTTGACCATAAACATAATAGGTTCCCTTTATATGTTTTCTTTACTTTTTATTGAAGGGAATATAAATTTTATTTGGAAAGTGTACATATCTTAACTATACAGCTCATTGAGTTTTCACAAATTGAACATTTGTGTGAGCAGAATCCAGATGAAGAAACAAAACAGACACAGAGGCAGAGACACTCCTGCGACTCCCTTCCCTTAAATCAGGGGTGGGATACCTCGCCCTGGGGGCCATAGAAGGCCCTCGAAATCGTTTGGTCTGGCCCTGCCGAGGTATTAGGGGTGAGTTTATTAAATGTTTGATCAAATGTAGCAGGCTAATTTTTAAGTTGACAATTTTGTATAGCCGGCGGATGATGATATGAATATCCAAATGGCTCTTGGCAAAAAAAAAAAAAAAAAAAAGGTTCCCACCCCGCCTTAAATGAACATATTAATTACTCTATGTTACATTAAAGGTGGGGAGAAGTACCTAGTCTAAAAAGTTGGCGGTAGATCTGGAAGGAAGTGCCGCTGTGTCTGATTGGGCAGGTGGCTCCCAGCAACCTGAGCCTGTCTCCTGCAGACCAGCCGAACTGTGCCTGTGAATAAACTGCAAGAGAACTAGACAGCCCAGCGCTTTCGGGAGCCATTACAGTGAGCAAAAACTTTGAATATCTCCTCTCGGCCAGACATGGAACTGGAGGGTGACAAAGATGGACAGCAGAGCCCCTGTGCTCCAAGCCCAAGCTGGTTTAGATCATTCCATGGGTGATGACATGTGCGAGCCATGGTACAGGAGAATGGGATGCAGTGGGAGTGCCCCAGAGGGACCTCTCCCTCCAGGGCTGGGAAACCAGGAGATTAAAGCAGAAACTTTTTGGAAGCCAGCAGATGGGAGTTTGGACCTTAGGTCCCACAGATCCAGACCAAATCCTGTTTTGTGATCTAACAGCTCTGTCAGGTTGGCCTTAACCCCTGGTCGGCAAACTGCAGCTCACGAGCCCCATGCAGCTCTTTGGCCCCTTGAGTGTGGCTCTTCCAAAAAATACCCCGGCCTGGGTGAGGTTTAAAAAATTTGGCTCTCAAAAAAAAATTTTAATTGTTGTACCATTGATATTTGGCTCTGTTGACTAATGAGTTTGCCGACCACTGGCTAAACTTAAAACATCAGGCAAAATAACTCAATTTTAATTTCTAGTGAGTTTCCCTTCCATGTTACTATATTTTTATTAGAAAGAAATAAAACCAAAATACCCAAAAAATTTTTGGCAATTAGAATTTTTTTTAATTGCTCTACTACTACTACCATAATAGCATTTTGGTACATTTTCTTCCAGTGTTTTTGTCCTATAAGATATATATGTCAGTTTTCTTAAAATTTTTTTTTACTTTTTCTTCCCCATTTATCCCCAAAAATGTACCAAAGGAAATTATTCCTAAAAGGGCTTCAGACCTTTGATTAGTTTTCTCTTTCCCATCACCAGCCTTCCACCTTCCCAAATGGAAGGCTAAACATTACTTTTACTTTAAGGAACTTTTCACCTGACTTTTGGCTTCATGCTGAGAGAATGAGCCCCAGACCCTCTGGAACATTATGTGATGGAGTTCTGTCTCCCACATTGTACTCAGATATAGCTGTGCCCCCCCAAAAAAGTCTAGATCCCACTGGTTTGGACAAATTGGAACCCATGGGGACAAATTGGAACCAGGTTTGTCTGTCACCACCTTAACTTCCTGCGATAAGGTGACCTGAAGAGAAGCTGGCATCCTTTGGCATAGACCTAAAGCACACCTACCCAGGTTCACTTTGGCAGAGACAATCTTTCACCAGTCCAACTGGCTTGATGTCCTGGATGTTTCACCTGATAATATTCTTGGGCAGATGGGGCTTGCAATCAAGGTCTATTTTGGGGTGGGGCCACTTCCTGGACTCTGAGGTTGGGGGTTATGGGTGGTGACAGTGGCTGAGAATAGTTGGATAGGACTATTGGCTTGGTTCCCTGTCCAAATGAGGCTGTAGGATTTGTTTCCTGGTTGTCTAGTCTCTGGTCAGGCATAGCAGACATTGGTGCCTAGGTACTATTCTTGGCAGTAGGCAAGGCAGGAGGTAGCTCCCCTGCTCTGGTGGTTCAGCAGAGCGTCCCAAGGTCTGCCTGGCTCATTGTTTGAGGACCTGAATCAGGCGAGACTGTGCACTGAATTTCCTGACCAGATGGACCACCAGTTTTGCTCTGCAGATGGGAAACCCCATGCTGTGACCTCTGTTCGGTGCCACTGCCACAGCAGCTGCAAGGTGGACTGCTCAGCTTCCTGTGTGCTCCCGTAGGTCTCCAGGATGGGCAGGCTGGAGAATGTCTTCATCAGTGGTGGGGCTGCAAATTAGTTTCCAAATTAGTTTTTTTTAATTATTTATATGTTTTATTGATTTTTCTTTAAATATATTTTATTGATTTTTTTTACAGAGAGGAAGGGAGAGGGATAGAGAGCTAGAAACATGAATGAGAGAGAATCATCAATCAGCTGCCTCTTGCTCACCTCCTACTGGGAATGTGCCCGCAATCAAGGTACATGCCCTTAACCGGAATCGAACCTGGAACCTTTCAGTCCACAGGCCAACGCTCTATCCACTGAGCCAAACCAGTTCCGGCCCAAATTAGTTTTTGCCCATGTGGGCTCCAGACAGGCACCAAGGCTGGCAAGACTCTTGTTTGAGGAC